CACACACACACACACACACACACACACACACACACACACACACACACACACACACACACGCGCGCACACACGCACACACAACCTCTACCTTTTCTTTAGTTGCGCCATTGGCGCTACTTCTAAATGAAATGGGTGGATGAAAGAGGGGCTTATATCAGCCTGGTCGACTGCCTGCATGTGTGCTCCAGCTAAAAGCAGATCTTTGAAAGAAAGCTGACAGCATCTCTTTTGAAATCAGCTAAGCTCACATATCTAGAAATCTCGGCAACATCTACGCCACTAAGCCCTAAAATGTTTGCCACCATAAAGGTTACTGTTCATTCTAAACCCTCTCGATAGTACTTTAATTGTTTTTAGAACATAACACTGCAAGCAGACTGACTGAATATGGATAATTAGGTCATTTAACACGAAATACAGTATAACGTAATTATGCATCCACATAAAAAACATCAACACAAATAACACAATTTCCTGAAAAAATTAAGGGAGAAATTTGCAATATCGCGGCACAATTATACACACTATACCGACAAGCTCAGTTCACGTAAAGTTCCGACGAGATACTATCAATTTCCCCCCTGACGTTTTTATAGGCTATGCATAATAAAATTTGCTGAAAAATATATAAAAAACTTTATCGAGTAGCTGGCTAGAGCCTAATGACTTCTCAACAAACAAAATGTTTAGCGAACTGCATTTACGCGAATTGTGATGAGCAACCTTACTCTCGCAACACACCTAACAACTGCAGCAATCGTACTGCAATCAGCAATGCAATTCACACAACAAATATCACAATCAGATGCAGGAGAGAAATTCGTCAACTCGTCGTAAACGAGCTCAGCTTCTTCGAGATGTAACGATTTCGCGTGTGCGACGTAATTTCATTATCACGACGTTTGTGGAACGCGGTGCGTCGGTGCGTGCTCTATCTCTCTCTTTCTCTCTCTCACGCGCACAGACGCACGCACGCACGCACACTCACACACATACAGACACAGACAGACACACACACACACGTACGCACGCACACACATACAGACACAAACAAGCGAGCACACACGCACGCACGCACGCACGCACGCACACACACACACGTTCTCTCTGCGTGCGTCTCTTCACGCAAGTCAGACGCTTCTCGAACAATTTCAGAGCTATTTCACTGTCGCGCACACACCTGCGCATGACACAACGTGAATGTAGTCAAAACTGCCAGAGTATTTAAAACGAAGGCATGTGCGGTTTCAAGTAAATCCATTGTCTGAAAATCGCCGCCGCCTATTTCTGATCATCCGTACGTGGATCCAAATATTTCAGCTAAAGACTGCTAGCTAAGACGCTGAGGCTAAGCTACTGATGGACATTCTCCATTGTTCGCTCACCTGGGGTAGTACGCTCTGTATAATTCAAGCAAGAAAAATTCCCGTTCGTTGATAATTTCAGGAAATAAAACCTGATATACTGGTTACACGATAAAGCTACATGTATTTTTATTCGACTCCCCGGCATCATACCAAATAGGCAGAGCCGTCGCTGTCTGGTTAAACTCCGAACTGGAATCGGTAAATTCTCGTGGTATGACGCAACTGTCACTGTATTTGCCGAGCGTAAACGCCTTGAAGGAATGTCCGTGTCCTCCTGTAAGCCACGTCGCCTACTCTAGGGAGTGGGGTAGGAGCGGAATTAGCATTCAGGAAGGTGGCGGACATGATGGAATAGAGAGTGCTCAGGTTAAAGCCCAGGCAGCTGTGATTGGCTGCAGGGCCAGGGCTCAGATGGCACGCAGATGAAGCTCATCACTTTGGAGATTGTGGCCGGTGCAAAAACATCGCAAACCCATAAACTCAATATTAATTAAATCCTATCAAAACGGGACTGGCCTATAATGTCGTATTATGCTAGGCCCTGCTTGTTCGGCTCCCTTGTCGGTCCAATAGCAAGGGAAATCCGCGATGTAGCTTGGCTTGGGTGGAAAGACCACACGCGATGCTGCTCTTCACAGAAACAACAGAGGGATGAATGCATATACCGTTACACCCATAACAGAACCATTAGAGCTTTTCGCACATGCTGATATCAAAAGGCAGCCGATGACAAAAAATACTAACATTTCCGCTACGCAATCCGCGAGTGAAGAACGGCATAATTGTTCACACGTTTCTGCATACATTATAATCGTGCACGCAATTTTTTAATCAATGGCGAATAAAATATTTGATGAAATGAAGCAAATGAGCGTTTTTGTTCAGCTTATTGGTACAAGCCCGGCGCTTAACCAGCCCATTCCGAGGAATACACAGCCGTGTGCAGCGTGATTAGATTTACATCGTCATCCCACTGATCATTACGGTAGCGCAGCTACCCACTTTGAATTCTACACAACACGCAGAGCGACAGACGCAGACATCTTCATTTCGTTTGCGAGTGTTAGCACCTTACATAGTGCACAAAGTGAAGCCACCTCGGTCGTTACTTGTCCCACGTACACGTGCCGAGGCCAGTTGCGTGGCATGCAACGTTATCAGCGACACGACCGCAGATGTTTGGAAGACAAGGTTAATATGATTACCGACGAATCTCTGCTCTGAAACTATTAGCAAATGTCAAGAAAGCTTGCATGTCGCTAATTGTTCCTCTGGGGCACACAAACGCGCAGGCAAATAACGTTCGAGTGTGGCACGGACTCTATTATCCGCTGGCAGATCACTGTCCTACAATGCCACACAATCACATGTTATTCGAGATAACAGGCAAATAATATGCTCCGCAAGGCAAGTATTTTCTTTCCAGATCCGTCACAGCGTTCCTGGGCTTCACATCGCTGCTCTTTATGCGAAGCCATCAACAAGTGAGGTGAAATGCAAGATATAAAGTTTATACGAAAATCTGTGAAAAACATGAACAACACGGAAATTGCACGACGCGCACACAGTGTTGCAAAGTCTAAACACCCGTGCCGATTAGACTTAGTGTCATAGTCATAGCAGATTATTACAATACTATTCTTATAGCGCTATACTACGATCCAAGTCGGTACATATTAAAGTTGTGACAGTAAATTAATATTAGAAATTTATGTAATGACATAATGATAATATTTTATAGATAGACTTACCTGGGTGGTATTCCCATTGTCCCTACTTGAATATGGCATAGAGGGATAAGGCATCTCTTTACTTTTCCCTATAAGAAAAATAACAGTTAGACAGTTAGTACAGAGTTATTTACTGAATCTTTAGTGTTAAAATTGTACACATAACAGAAAACGTTTTAAATACAAAATCACAAATGTAAAACCCCTGTAACATATATGGCTCCAAGACTCCTACACATAATGTGCTTTACTATCTTAATATTACTGCCTAAGTAATCCCCCCCCCCAATATATAATTTCCCTCCCTATATGAATTCACACGATTTACAGTGTTCACTGATTAAAGTCAGTGATGTGGATTTCCACACGTTCATGTTCACGCTTATGGTTATAATAGGCTCCTTAAAATAGAAGTGTCTGTGTGCGGGAAGGACTGGCAAGGATAGCAAGTATTGTTTGGTTTGCAATTACCATTCAGACTAAAAAACGCAACAAGTAAATGCCGACTATAAATAGGTTATTTCAGTGGTGGTGTTACGGAACTGTAGAAATACAAGGCATTGCCGGCAATTTGCTGACAGAAATAATAAGCTCCCTCCTCCTAGGTTCTTTGGTGCACGGAAAACAACCGCCTATCCTATTTTAACTTCTATCAATCAACAGCTGAAGAATAACAACTAAACTAAATATTCTAGCAAACTCAACATTGTAAACACTACTGTACATCATAATTTTAAACAAATGCGTATTCATACTAAAGTTATCACGAATAACAAACAATTTTAAGAGGAATAGATGGCAACTATACTTCACTGTGTAATAAACGGGGAGCCGCAAACGCAGTCTTATCTATAATCTATATGTGCATTTATCTAGGATTTGTTCCATCATAGATTTATATTCAAGAAAAAATACGGTTTATGACAGTAAGTTTAAATAACAGTTTCTACAAATAGTGGGATGTAAAGTCGTCACATATATATATATTTAGTATATATGCAATTATATAATGAAACATGTATGTTACGAAATACTTAGAAATACCTGTACTAGCTAGCATCCTTATTAATTGCATTCACTTCTCAACAGAATAATGTTCATACGTCAGATTTCATGACAAAAATATCACAATTTACAATGTGCCCTTTCTGCCTACGTACATATGACATTAAATTATTAAATTAAAACTTAAATTTATATTATACAGAAGAAATGATGGACAGAAAGCATGCAATAGGCGTAACTTCGAGATTGTTGAAGTGCTTTCATTATATTCGTGTAAACAAAAACCCAGCCAACAAACTGAACTGTGCCTAAATTTTAGACGAAATTCAACAAGTTAAAAGGGCACAGTTTATTGTAGTAACGCATGACAAATTATTCCTCATGCATATCATGTCAATGATTAAAATATGACGGATAGACTTGTAAATGGTTGTTGGTATTTCACATGAATCCACGATAACATTTAAATAACAACGAATAAACATTAAATGTTTGGGACTATTGTCGAGAGAAGACTTTAGGTAACTGCATGCTGCAGATTCATTGTTTATCTGATTTCTTTAGAACCGCCAAAGATACAGCCACGATGCGCAACGCAATTAAGCGCGAAGAAACATACCAGTGCACTGTCCATAGAACTGGCCTCCTGGCCCGAACCTACTCTCGATGTTAGGGGTATGATACAGCGGGGGTGGACTGCTGTAGCCCGGGGGTGGGGAGTACGGCAACACATTGCCACCACCCACAAACGGAGTTCTTCCACTGGCCACAAATCTAATGCCGTTATTCACTGACCGATCGCCGCCGCCGCCGTCGTTGTTGTTGTTGTTGTTTACTCTCACAAACGGACCCGCGTTGCCGCTACCGTAGCCCTGACACGGCCACTCCATAGCGTAGAAGCCAACCGAACGCAGAAGTATTGGGGATGCACAGGCTCCCCTTTTCACTCACTCGATGAACTCCCGTGTAAAGTTCAAGTCGTAAACACGCGCGTGCGTGCGGTCGGGAAGCAGCGTCCGCCGCCCGAGCAGCGGCCTTTTACAGGCAGGCGCGATCACACAGACAATATACACTAGCCGTGCACGTCGACGGCCCTACGTGCGTTCTCCTCACTGGCCGTGAGTGTTTTCTCAAGCGACTGCTGAGCCCGGTGCTCACGGAGGACGCTGCGAAGCGGAGAGCAACGAGCGCGGCGTTACGCTAGGCGATTCTCTCGTCCCGCGAGCAGCGGGACACGTTAACCCTTTGCGCTAGGCAAAATGGCAGCATCGCTACGCGCCGTGGCTGTATCCAAAAAACACTGGTGCCTGGTTGCGCAGTCACTACTGCTGATCGGCGGCTACCGGTAATGCACTGAGGCGGGCGTAGTGAAATGCTAAGTACAACTGACAGATGTTTTGCTGCTCTGTGTTTTCCGAATGCGTTCAGATCGCAGCTAGACAAGTGCTAGCAGACTGGCAATCGGAAGTCAATTTCAACAAAAACGCCATACGTGTTCTGTCTGTCACTGGATCGCGATGCGCTCAGCTTCCCTCATCTCACTCATTCTCTATCTCTTCATTTCTACCACTGGCTTGGATAATGGGCACGCAATTGGCGGAATGCACAATGTACGTTCGTTGCTGGTTGCTAATAGATGCAGACCGCTATTACGAACTATTATTAAACTAATTCTGATCACTTGCCGAGAGCAGCTGCCAGATGACTGCACGAATCAGTCGAGCTACGCGTTCGACGTGGATAACAAGCAATTTTCACAGCGTCATCACTTGAGCACACCGCTTACATTCCTAGCCTCACTTTCGACGAAATCTGTCCACCCTTACTAATGACCACAACTGTCCTCCCCCGCGTCGTTTACACGAGACGAACACGATCGGGCGTCTCCAGGTTAATTCAATGAAGACTTTCCGTCGACTCGAAAACGGTTACTTTCACAGCTAACAGAACGCTATCCGATAGCGCATAATCCCGCACGCTGTCACTCGTCTCCCAGTGCACAGGGAAGCAGTGGAACCCGCACACCAACCGGTTACAGACTGAATACGGCTCACAGCGACACACTTATCTACGCACACAATTCTCCGCGGACCTCCATGCACCACTTGTCAGGCACCTGGAAGATCAAAGAGGACCTACAACAAAGACACTGCTTCTGGGGCAATTCGCTCAACGTGCGGTAGTTAACACCTTTGCCTCCATTGAGACACAGCAAGTTCTGCTAAGCACCGGCAAGGAGACGGCAGCAAACACCTGTTTTTTTAATACACGCGCCACGCACTACATTGTGGTGTCTAGGCGTATTCCCTGCACTTAACAGTCGCACACAAAAGATTATACTACTGGTGGCTGTAGTAATTTTCTATGTGCTCCATGAAACACATAATTATTATGTCCTAGCCAAATTATGCAGGAAATATGTAGATTGTTAATGCAAATAGGAGATGTTTTCTATACGGTCTACTGCGAAGTAAGAAATGGCAATGCAAACGCAGATGTTATTTTAGTAATATGTAGGGTAAATTATTATCTCGCTAACGGGCATCATAATATTAATTGGAATAATAAATCTACATACTAGCCTCGTGTAATCAACACTAAAATTTGAAAAGAATAACAAACGCTATACAATTACGCGAACCAATGTATATTTTACGATGCGTTTAAAGTAAAATGTTGTGAAAGTTTCAATTAAACATGATTACAACAACAATACATGAAATACTGGAAACGCCCGCAAAGTGTAGCAACCAGTCAGACAAGTCTGCAGTAGAGGTGGGCACTATACAATACACAATGAAGTAGCCAATCACTGCTTACAGCCATTGGTTTAACATGTACTTTATAAATGGTGACTGCATGTGTTTGAACAAAGCAAGCAGGTCTGAAAATAATAGCAACCGCGGGTAATTAATTAATTAACCATTACCGGGGGGGGGGGTGCCAGTGTGGATAGAACAGACATGCAAAACTACAAATGTGTATAAAAGTGTAACAACACACTCGCGTGTCCTTTAAACTTGGCTACATTTTCGAGGGAAGTAAAATAAATAGGAATATTTCTGGCGATCCTGACATTAAGCAATATATCAATGCGCCACTGCCCTCGTGCACGCGGGCTGAGAGAATGAATTCGCCGTCCTACATACTTCAGAACAGTCTGCCGTAATATTTTTTTACTGGGCACTACGACATTGTCGCCGCGGCACTGCGATTACCCGCTCGGTTACGGCCGAGCCCCTTTGATCTGTTAAGTATTGTTCCGGGCACCGACCATGCGCATAATCGGATACTTGAAATTAGCGATATACTGTAACTGTGATTGATCGCTGGGAGCTTGAAGATCAACCGCCTGCCCGTGTGAACACGGGTGCGTGTTTGCTCTATCTGCATAGGCCAACTCGCGAGGAAACCGGCGTGTTATAACAGTTGGCCATGAGCAAACAGCAAAAAATTCCGCCCTGTCAACAGTTCGTGGCTCGGATGTCATGCCTCATTCAGCACAGAGATCAGTTCAATTGGCTTTTGATGCAGCGAGATTTCACTATCAGGTTAGTGTGTTTTCCATGATAAATGCTAACATGGCCGGGGCGTGCAAACCTGATCAATTCTCGGCACAATCAGCCCTAATCAACGCTACACGGGGAGCGCGGAGACAGGCGCAGGTAATGCACACGCCCAGCACACGTAACTGTCGATACTGCAATTTGGACTCACCTGACGCCATGCCCCAGGTTAGAAAAGCTCGCACGTCTAATGTTACGTCTAAAGGCATATACATATTGCGTGCGCGCGTTTCCGCGCGTGTGCTCGGTAGGATATCTAACGTTGTATTATGTATCGGGTTATTTTACACGAGTATCTTATTGTATTTATTTCCGAGGGGGGACGAATCCTTCATTTGCGGTGACGACACAAACCCTGATAGCACGGAATGTGTTGGCCTAGATCAATCCCAAATGAACATCAGGAGACGGCATCACTGGTAGTGGAAGCCCGACGATCATCGCTGATAGCATCTCTAGGCATCCCATATGTAGTTACTATGCGCGTATTTACTGTAGCAGCAGACATCTGCGCAGCACGTGAAACTCGCCAAGGTTTTTTAAGCTATCATACCAGTTTGTTTTGCCAAGTAATATGTGATAATACCTCAGATGCTCTAACAACAAGCAATATGCTGGTGACCAATCAGAATAGATTTCGTGATGTAGGGCTGTGCAACCTGATGCGAAAGGCAGCCACGAATAAACGGCAGGAACAATATGTGTGATGGAAGCTTATTACAGCGCTATCACGCACCCACCATGCAACCACGCTGACCTAAGCTACGGGGAATCTAAAACAGTTTGCCAAACATGGAATTTACGGGAACCATAAGTAAAACATCAACAGTCAAACACTCGTTTTCCACGGCTTAAATTTAGCAAACAGACCGCGCAGCTTTTAAAGCCATTTTGTGTCATTTTGACCCACTAGAGGTCAGCACCTTCTAACGGCACGTAATATGCGCTAGCAGCGCTCTGACAAACATTGTCCAGCCCAAGCAGTCTGGCCAGCATGATATATAATATGCAGACGAACATAAATGGGTATCATACCTAGATATTATTACACACATTACACGGCTGCTTAATTTTCAAGAGACCAAGGAATGTACTGGACGTCATTGCTGGAATGACGAACGAAACTCTGCAGTCTCTATAGACCCTACAGCATTTATCAGCACAATACCTGACTGACTCACACAATGAGCCATATACAGTAAGTAATACATGTATACACACATGACGCATTTAGAAGACATATTTCCCATATTATTAATTATAGCGGATACATGTCTCGCAGAGTGAAGCAGTATTATAATGGCTGGGGCATAGATCGGTCGGGGGAGGGGACACATACATGTAGTGTGAGCGAATGCAACGAGAGAGAAATGAGAGATGACAAATGCACTACGTTCTTCAGGAAGCAGCTGCTTGCTGCACTCAAATGCCCGGCCACCAGGGAGATTCCACAAAAGCTATTATGTTATCTTTATCCCGAAGCTGTAAATACAGAGACAGTGAAATGAGATTCCAGAATTACCCTTTGGCAAGTGTAGAACACGGAGAGACAACCGAAAATCTATTATTGCCACAAGTGTGGCCCTTGATCAAGCTTCGATCTCGACTGATAAACAATCCATCCGTAATTTAAAAATCCATCAAAGGACGCGTGTGGACCTCAAAAACGAAGACGAATAAAAGACGTACGAGACTGCTCTCACCCCACAAGACACTATATCTTTCCGCCAATGTTTCGCCATGCACCACTCACCACCAGCTATACTAATTCAAGCATGCAGGGACGACCCAATGAGGACATAGCGCGTGAAGCTGAAGCGACACAGAGCTCACAGAGACCACCTTACTATAATCATGTCTAATGTGCGACAGAGAACATCACCGAGTGATATCCAGACGCTACAAGAAACAAGCACGCCCAGTGCAAACACTGCACCAGCTTCAGCGACCATAACCACACACAAAGATGCGGCACGCCAGCATTTTGTGTGACTATATACGACTGTGCAAAGCCGTGTAAACAGGATGAGGCCATCGCCTTGCGACGATGTGCCCGCACACAAAAGTGCGGCAGGGACCGGCACTTTGCTATACTCCTCTCTACGCGTGTATACGGAGTGCGGCAATGCACAACGCGTTCATACAGCCGACACGGCGGATCAGTACGGCTCGATGCGTGACGTTTTCATCCGCGATCCTGTCTCGGTTTGGGTGCTGCGAACGGCAGAGATGCAATTAAGGATCAGTTGCGAGGCTTGCCTGTGGGTCAAGTGCTGCAGCAACGATCCCGCGGCAAAGCTGTGTGCGGCTCACAACATCCGCTTAGCCATTAAAGCATGATAACATCAAAATTGAAAAATTATAGATTGAGTGACGGTAAGCTGACATTAGCGAAACTTGGTTAATTAGTAGCTACATTACGGCTGATCGATACCAAACACCTTCAGCAAATGTGATCAGAAATATCACCCGATTTAGTATTTAGTGATGATGCAAAACAACCAAACCTTATAACCGTGACAGTAATGCGTATAACAGCTCGGCTAGTGTAGGTTAAATTTTAAGTATGGCTTTAAAAAATTTAGGGAAATCTTCAAGAATTCTTGCAAATAAGGCTTTGTGCAAAAAAATGTTCGAAAGCTCACGTTAGAAAAATTTTGTTGCGACTTCCACCCGACGGCTTATAAATTTGTGAAGTTTTACAAGCAACCGTCTGCTAACTGTTTTCGATGTACTGTAGAATCCGCTGACCTTTTAACGCAGCAATATCGCACGTGTATAGTAGACACCAAACTGACAGATATAACTTCCAACTCTAGACAATTCCATTTTTGTGCAGGTTTCTCGTTTCGAGAAGTCAGAAAATGAATCCATCTCAAACATATACGCTGAAAACGCTATAACAAAACTATTATTATTATTATGATGATGATTATTATTTTGTTATGTTTGCATTTTATTATTATTTATAATAGTATTAAACATTATTATTATTATTATTATTATTATTATTATTATTATTATTATTATTCTGGAGATTTTTCATATAAAGTTTGCTATGACATTTTAAATGTTAGTTTGCTCAGCAAACACTGCCTTGTCGTATCATCACAAAAGCTTGTAAACATACATCAAAATACCTTTGTAGACCCGTCAACTCTAAACTAACTCCAGCTGTTGGGTTTTAACATTCAAACTCTGCGATGCAAACAAGTGAGCATTCTCGGAGAAAATCTAAGAATAATAAACCCATTTGTTGCCATATATGGCCGTCGTTGCCCGCGGACAAGGCTATGATGCATAAAGCAGATTTCCAAAATTATACTAGGGAAAGTGATCGACTACTGAATGACGTGCACCACACGATAGGATAGGCAATCGATTAACTACACAAAATGCGCAATTTTGGGTGGTGCTAACCGCCAGAATGTGACCTTTTCCGTGAAGCTATGAAAGATGCACTAAACGCA